GCAACAAAACGGCCCAAAGTAGTACCTGTACCTTTTCAGGCGTGGGCCGTTTTGTAGCGCGTTAGGGACGGGCGGAAATACGGCAAGGTGGGAACGAGACCATTGAATACAATGGGATTTATATTATTGAGCGTTTTGTAGAGCGTTCGTCGAGCGTAGAACGCGCTACAAAACGTTCAGGTGTGAACGAGGGCTTAGTGGTGAAAATTATTAGTGCCCCCCCAGTTCTGACTGCGGTTTCGTATGTGCCCCCCCTATATATTGTTCCTAGAGTCGCCACTGGCTGGAAACCTTAATTGTTGTAGCTGAAAGCAGACCTAGCATCAGATAAATTTTTTTAAAGGAGTTGTAAAGTCCCAGCATCTCTACATACTAGAGTTGTCTCTGATAATACAATCAAAGCTTACTTGTAAAAATCCCTTTTATGTAGTGAGCGCTGCCTTGTGTCTGCCCATCACTTCCAACAACTTCCTGGATTCCCAGTGTGCTTTGCGTCTCTTTCCCTGCTGCTTCATGTGATGTAATCTCCATTTCGCAAGATTACATATCCCATCATGCATTGCTTCCAGCAAGCGATGATAATGTTACATTGTACATTTTTCCACCTAACTTTATTGCTATCACACAGGAGAAACAATCCCCTGTGTGATAGCTTTTGGAGGTGACAGGTTCTCTTTATTGACCCAATCACCTCCAATACAGGAGTTCTAGCACAGCACTGTGCTGGAACTCCTGTGACAGGTGAGAGAGGAAGAGCACAGCTCTCCCCTCTCACTGTCTACATGGAGCGGCAGGGTTAGTTTTAACCCTGCCGCTCTGCTAAATGCAGTGAGGAGGCGGACTCGGCGGCGGAGCCCGGAACCAGAGGAGAGAGGTAAGTGCAGGGGGGAGGGGAGGAGGCTGCAGACTGTTTACATGTGATCTCGGCGACATCGCAGAGATCACATGTAAACGAACAATCGGCTGCCTCACTCTACATTTAGTCCTGCTTGTACAGAGAGGGCAACTTCCCCACAAGGACACCACTACCGCCCCTCTGCGCCCTGCCGCCCCGAGGACGGGCCTCGGTGGTCTTGTGGGGAATCGGGGCCTGTGCGCAGGTGCCCATGCAGAATTCCGAGTGTAAGGGCCAAGCCTGGCTGCCTGGCTTCCTGACAGAGTGAAATGGTGTCAGTGCATTGAGAAAGTCCATCCTATGGGCAACTTCAATAAGGCAGTTTACAGACTTCTAGATGGATCTGGTTATTAGGAGCGGGATGGAACTTAGCCCTCGTTCACACCTGAACGTTTTGTAGCGCGCTCTACGCTCGACGAACGCTCTACGAAACGCTCAAAAATATAAATCCCATTGTATTCAATGGTCTCGTTCCCAACCTTGGCGTATTTCCGTCCGTCCCTAACGCGCTACAAAACGGCCCACGCCTGAAAAGGTACAGGTACTACTTTGGGCCGTTTTGTTGCGCGTTTCCATTGGGATACAGCCAAGTAGCCGCTGTAAAAAAACGCGTGCACATGCAATACGCCTAGGTGTGAACGAGACCTTATGAACAATCAATATAGAGATATATTTTTAGTTTCTGACTATAGATAGCAAACTATCTATGAATATCAAGGAAGGAAGGGAGCTCAGCGTACAGTTGTATCAGGATGTGCAGTCTCTGGTCACACAGAGGAAGTCATTCCAGATGTCCCAGATCTTCTGGAACTTCAAGGGGGGAAGTTAATTGATCATATACTGTATAATGTTCTCATATGGATAATTTTGGTTGGACAAGGACACCCGTTGAGTAAGTGTTTACACAGAAGGTTGCATCACTTTAAGAACAACCGCCTTATGGGCCATGAATTAAGGTGCCCATACACCTGCAGATTATCGTACGATAGTTGTGGGTGATCCCGCGAGCGTACGATAATTGGCAGGTGTATGGGCAGCGTGCGACCGCTTCTACTGTAAGGTCGCACGACTTTCGTCTTCCAAGCACGCTGGAAAACCTGCACTGCAATCATGGGAAGTCCTCCACTCAGCGGGGCGGGCTTGCGATGATCGCAAGTACGATCTGCCTGTCCAAGATGGGCAGATCGTACGGAATTTTAATCACCTTACAACTATCGCACAACGAAAGTCGTGCGATGGTTGTAAGGTGTATGGGCAGCTTAAGGTTTGAGCAGAAAGAGAAATTGCTGTACAAGTACGACGACCCGCATCCAAGACCGAACCGTCCGTCTATATACAACAGGCGCAGCTGAGAGGGGGCGTAGCCAGGGCCAGCCTGGCTGCGCCCCCTCATCCCTGTTGCCATGTCCTCAATCTCTTTTTCTATTTCAAAAGGGAAATGTCAGAGGTCTGTTTAGACCCCTGACATTTCCTCGAAGCCCCCAGAACCGGCCACACACACACTATTAGACATGTGCAAAGACTAAATGAACAGAAACAAAAAATGTTTTAATTAGTTTTGTGCCATCCTGGAGGCGGGGCGCATGACGTCACATGACGCCGTGTGTGCGTGCGTGGCATAGGGTGACATAACATGTCTGTTTGGGGGCACAATTTTCTGTTTCTTGCCTCGGGCGCAAAAGGAGCTAGCTACGGCTCTGCAACAGGCGGACGGCAAGCGGTTTGATGCAACAAGCAAATATGAAAAACAGCAGAATTTACTAAGGCTGGAGCAAACTGAATCTCTCGGCAACCAATCAGCTTCTATCTTTTATTTTCAAAGCTAAACTGCTCTATTTGTAGTAAATCCCCCAATGATGCCAGGGAGATCTCCCCCTAAATAAATGGGTTACACTTCCCAGATCTTGCAGCCCAATTGTAAAATCCTAACAACTCCGGTAAATTCATACATTGATGAAGGGTATTCATAAAATCTGGAGCAGTTGCCCATAGCAACCAATCAGTATCGCTCTTCAGTTTGTTCTTTTAAGCTTTGAAGATCAAAGCTAGTCGCTGATTGGATGCCATGGGCAACTTCTCCAGATTCTATCTGCTCCAATCTTAATAAATTCCCCT